ACAAATCATTTAAGAAAAAAATTTCCTAACAAAAAAAAAAAAAAAAATCAATACAACATAAGAAGATCTAGCCACTCTTAGACCGTCAGCATAGTAATCGATTCGATCCAGCTGATCGAACACAACTGAACAGATCTAAATCGATTATCAATAATGTAGTCGAAGTATCATATAACTATTATTTTCCCGAGATCTTTTTATACAAAAAAATAAATAAATAAAAGTACTTAAAATAAAGATGGAAGCTTATGTTGAAGTGGTCCAAACAATTTAATTACACGAATAACCTTAACCAAATCGAATTAATTTTATATATTGATTCAATTCAATCCACAGATTTTCCAGTAATTTAAAAAATATATATATTTTTTTTCCTTGGCTAGTTCCTGATCCGGGTCAAGTCATATTCCAGACCCGATAAATTGACCGGACTTGACCAAGTTTACACGCCTAAAGAAGACGACAAGCATCCGATCGGGTCCGACCCGACCCGACCCGTCGCCATGACGTTGGAAAACCGGGAATACGCCGCCGTAGGGCTGAAAAAGATCAGAACTCCGGCGGCGGAAATCCCAGATCTGGCGGTTATTTGCAGAAAAAGGGAGAATAGTTAAGGAGAATACCTTGTAGGGATCCATGGCGGAGGGCGAGGAGAGAGAAAGAAGTAAGAGAGAGAGAAGTAATGGGAAGATAGTGGAGAAGGAAGTGAGGGAGAATGAGGGGATTTTATGGTGGATTTTCTACAGTTTTCTCTTACTTTTTTCACCGACGGTTCATTTAGTGTCGTTTTGAGATAAAAGAAAAAACGACAAGTCGGACTCCAAACAGTGGGCCCCTTTCCTGATCGTAATCCAGAGCAAGCCAATAGGGAGGTTGGGGAAGGAAGAGGGGCGTGGAAAAATGGGGATGATATTTTTGGTGTCGTTTTCCCATTATGTCCCTGACTGTGATAGAAAGTGAAGCAACAATCTCTCTAATTGCCACTACACAAGGGCTCTTTTGTCATTTCGCTATCATACGTGGCCCAGCGTCCAAATCACTCTTACCTTAAAAATTATTCAATTCTATTTTCTTTTTCTTTTTTTTTTTTCCATTTTTATTTCTAAAAAGTCTAATAAAATTTGTTAGTAATAGGAAATTACGAGGTTAATTTGATCGTACCGTTAAAATCATTCAACCAACGTTGAATACACCGTTGATTGGTTGTTGAAAATCTCAGTATACAGTAAAAAATAATAATAATAATAATAATAATAATAATAAAAGAGCGGTATATCAGCGTAATTTTGAGGGTATGTTGAAATTCCAATTTTACCCTTGTAGTGAGATTACGATGTGTCTTGAAAGGTGTATTTGAATTTTCACCCACTTGTCGATTTTTATATTTGTTTTCAAAGGCAACGTGTTATTTTCCCTCCTAACTTAATAATTAATCGGAAATTATGTGGTTAATTTAATCATATTAAAAAGAACTCCGGTTCAACTTATCCATCTCACTCGGTGTTGAATTCACGAAAGAAAAAAGTTTATAGTGAGCCAAAAATGTCAGTGAATAGTTGAAAAATGATAGTAAACGACAATAAAACGAACATTTAATTGAAAAATAAAATTATTTTTTTTTCCAAACGGTCGATTTTAGCCGAAATGATATCAGCATGATTTTTCTAAGTTGAAAATAGACTATGCAAATAATTCAAATACATAGGTTAATTTTTAGACTAAAGTCTCTCTAATTTATTTATATATTCATAATTAAAATAAATAAATAACTTTTTTAAAGATTAAAAAATAAAATAAAATAAAATAAAAAGTTAGATCTCAAAAATAATATTTTAATATCCGACAAAGAAAATAATTATAACACGTCAATCCATAAAGTTGGTGAGGTGTCCATTGGGTAGTGGACCCACACCATTTACCCATGCTGCTTCTGTACTTATCTGTATATTCACAAAAAATAAGGAAATAATAAATAAATAATTAATAATATTCGGTCCAATTATTAACGCTATAATTGGAATTTTATGCTTATCTTTTTCATTTTATATTAAAATAAAAAAATTAATATAAAATATAGAGCTATTATTTTTATTTTTATTAATACCAAGTACGTAATAATTTAGCGTTTATAATTAAAAAATTGTTAATTTAATTTGAATTTTTACGTGGTAGATATAAATAAACTAATTAAGAGATCAAATTTATTTAAAACTATCATAAAAATATTTTTTTTTCCAATAAATTGTTACAAATTTTAAATATAGAAATTAAATTATTATATACTAAATTTGTGTCGATTTAAAAGTAGGAGGACTAAAATGTTATACATTAAAATTTAATGGTTAAATTATTTATTTAAAATAAATTATGGAGTATAATATTATTTAACAAAATCAGACTTGTATTTCTCCCAAAAAAAGGGGAAATAAAACTTATATATAAATTCAATTTTTTTTTTAATGTTACAAAATTAATATTTGAGTTAAAAATATTTAAATTATGTGTATTTTATTTTAATTTCATATTGTTTGTAGAATTACTTTTATATCCACGTGATCACTTCATTGAATTAAGTGCTAAATTTTGACAGGTTTGGCTTATCTCCCCTTATTAAATCAATATTTAACTGTTAATTAAAATAAAAAATTTGAAGAAAATAATTTAAATTTTAAGATTAAATAGATTTAATTATTAAAGTTTAATGGTTAATTTTGTTTTAAAATACCACTGGACTTTTATCGGTGTTTCCAAAAATACTATTGAATTTTAAAAAGTTTCATTAATACCTTCGACTCTTAAAAATATTAAAAAAAATACGCTTACCATGTTTAAAAATACCAATACAATTTTAAAAGTAGCATTTAATTCTTATGATTAATATATGTAGGAGAATCATAACACTTCAGATTATCTCCATACTTTTTAGTGTTACTTTTAAAAGTTTGTGAGTATTTTTTTAAATGTGGTACAGATGGTAAGAGTATTTTTAAAAAAAATATTTTTAAAAATTTAATCACGTTAATGAAACTTTTAAAAACTCAAGAGTATTTTTTAAACACCGTTTAAAGTTAAATGGGTATTTTTAAAATTCTTTTGAATGTTTAAGGTATTTTTAAATATTAACGGATTTCATCCTAAATAGGATAGAAGTATTTTTAATTTTTTAAATTTAAATTTAGACATTTTTAATTTTTTTAATTTAAATTTAGACATTTTTAAAAGTTAAAGAAGGTTAAAGGATGTCTTTGTGTAAAGTTCAAAGATATTTTCATTTATTTGTAATTTAAATATGGTTAATTTATTTAATTTAATATTTAATATTATTATTTTAGTAATTTTAGTTAAGTTTCTGACTCAAACTTAACTTTTCCAAATTTTCTAAAATAATATTTGCTTCATCAAATTTGAAATTGGGATTTTACTTTTTTTTTTTTTTTTTCACTACTAAAAATTTTAATTTTTCTAACTAAAGAGAAATTTTTTTATTTATGTTGTTTTTCAGCTAAATTAAAATCCTCAACACCATCCCGATATTTTAGGAATTTAGTTGAATGTCAAAAGAAATTGAGAATAATGTGACCTACAAATTATTAATTACTTACCTAACTATTTAATGATATTTAATTTCGATTGATTTCAAGCCTTCTTTTTCATTTCTTTTTTCCCATATGTGGAGTGCCTCAAAAGATAGTCGTAATGGGACATTCAAGAAAAGGTTTTCCCATAGTGTGGGAGAGCGTCTTTGGGTTATGCAACGCGATAGAAAGAATCGTGAGCATTTACCACAACATAGACGCTTAAAGTTGTGATACAAACATAGACACACATTTATCAAATCTTTCGTAATTGAAAATTAGAATTGTCTTTGTGCATCATGTTCGGATCTAAGTGAGATCCATGTTTATTTAATAAAATTTTTAGAGATATTTTATTTTATCCTTTGCATTCGTACCAAACTCTATTTTCCTTTATTTGAAAAATGTTCTTATTTTATAAATACCCTTACACTTTTACGATGAAAACAATTGATCCCAACATATCAGTTTCCATCTCGCTAGCCGACTAGCATTTAGAAACAAATTATTGTTGATCCCGACATGTCAATTTCCATCCATCGATTAACCGAGGTTAATGACGCTGGCCAACCGATCACGGGCGAGATGAACTAAAAAAAAAACATGAGAAGGGGAGAAGATGCTGATGAAGAGATAAGTTGATGATAGGCAACTTGGTTCATCTCAGAGACCCTTGTGCAAATTTTAATAAAAAAAGAAACCATATGGCATTGAATGTATGATCCAGCAAGCAATCAATCTCCCAACAAATATGAATATACCAAATCTCAGTACAGGAAAATCAAGATCAACCATACATAGTCATTGCAATTTCAAACTCTTCTCAAATGAATGACAGCAATTCTCATGAGCAAATTCAAATTTATTTTTAAATAGAAGACATCACATTTTAGGGGAAAACTAGCAGGAAATGGAAGAAAGAAATGGAATGGGTATCTAAGCATGGTGGCCGGCCATCCTACAAAACATGTCTAGTTGGGGAGCATAGACTCTCACTCTTAAGGAGGTATCAAGTCATTCAAGCTAGCTAGTTAGAATCATGCAGCCTTCTCTACTAAGCAGCTACTGAAACTTGTTTTGGATTCTTACCAGCTACTTTTGAAGACTTCTCGATGATTTCTGGTTTGTCGATGCCTTCGATATCGATGATCCTCAACTTCGTTAATTCCTGTGATACAAAATATTGCAGAAACAGGTCATCATCAGATAACTTGAAAACGAAACTCTTTTATTCGAATTTGATAGTCTGGATATATACCTGGCGATGTCCTTTGGTTCGACGGTAATTCTTCCTTCTTTTTTTCTTGAAGATGATTACTTTTGCATCCAATGCCTTTGAAAAGGAGGAACGATCATTCAGTTCTAACAAATTGGAACACAAATTTGAAAACAAGAAAGCGAGGAAATGAAAGATTTACGTTCGCATCGGAAGTAACAGACATCCTATTTTTAGGGATTCAAATTTCTGATCTTTTCGCTGAACGCATATATCTTAACTAGTTGAGCTATGCTTTGAATCCATTTAATATATAGGTGCCCAAATGCAGATAAGACTAGAAGCATATTTTCTAAAGTGCACGAAGAACAACAAAATTAGTCCTTCGAAAATGAAGTGTAATAGACCACAGGCTAGCATCAGTAAAAACACAACAAAATTTTCTTCTTATAATATATTGCACTAGCAAGAAAATGTGAGCAAGTAGTTTAGCTGTCAATCTTACATGTTCCTCAACAACTGCTTGAACAACTGCACTTGGTACTGTAGGCCTACCGACAATCGTTTGTCTACTTGAGCCAAGCAAAAGAACCCTATTCAATATCAACTGCAAAAGATAAATTCATAAAAGAATAATCATTAAAGCTTGCTCAAGACGAAATGTAGAAAAGAACAAGAAGCCAATGACAGTACGGAAGTTCTACACAGATGATCAAAATCCTTAAGGTATAACAGCAAACATTACAGAACAGTATTCAAGTTTGTCAAGGAAAAAGGGGTCTTCTAATGAAGTATCTCACAAGTGAGCAACAATACGAACGTGAATAAAAGCTACCAAACGAAAAATATTTACGTTTTCCTTGTTTAGTTAGCCTGAACCAATCCTTCGTATTAAATAAACTACATATTTTGGCCACATCTATGAAGAGCAGAAAAATGTAACTTCTTATGTATATGTATGTAAAACAGTTGGTGTTTAGGCGCTCTTCTAATACAAACAAAGGAGCTCTCCTGTACTTAGTAAATCAGAAAACTGCTCCACCAAATTAATGTCTACATCGAATCTTTGTACCAATCAAAACAACGTAGTAATACCATAAACTTGAAATTATTAATTTTTCCGAAGGTACTTAAAGAAAAATAATTTGTTTAAAAAGCATTCATTATTCCAAACACACTATAAGACCATTTAGAGATGCAGCATTATTAGTTCAGTTAGACTGCAAATATCAAAAGATTGGGAGTAGGACACCATGTGGAAACATGGCCAAAAGCTAGGGTATGAATCAAAAAAGGATGATCTACATCTAAAAAATTCCACAACATACAATGGTATAGGAATTGCAAACCTTGTCATTCACATCGCAGAATTTTAATCTCTCAGTAAAAATACTATCTCCGTTGCTAACCTTGAATTGGTGTGAGCCAATCTACAAGAGCCACCAAAAGAAAAGAGTGGATAAATGATAAGAGACCAACTACTAATTCATAAAACTCATTAATACATGCAACAGTTTGAACCTGAACGACAGCAAAAACAGGTTCATAAGGCTTGAAAACCTCACTAGATCGATCAATTGGCCCAACTACTTTATATCCAATAGAAGCTGCTTCTGCCTCCTTCTCCTCCTTTGTATACTCCTTTTGCATACCCCTACTCGGCACTGAAATATCATCATCCTCACCACTATCATAATCCTCGTCATCTTCATCATCATCTTCTTCAGTATCATCATCTTCATTGCCATTCTGACTATCAGATGAGAGATATCGGGAATGTGACCAGTTGGTACACAAAGAAGGATCGATTTTAGCAAATAGACAGTTTGGTACAGAAGCATGTGTACGAAAATTCTGGGAAAGGAAGGAGGGTACGATCTTCAGGGAGTGGATATATGGCTTGGTGGAAAAGATGGCCAAGGCATGACGAGTTAGTACTTGTAAACACCGTCTGTTCGCCATGGTGGTGATCCTAATGGCCTCGGATCTATAGACAACACCTACACATGCTGCAGCAATATTCTAACCTTCTCAGTCTGCAGAAATAAAATAAAAACATAAACCCTGTCTGGAACCCCTGAATATAATTAGCATGTTTGTATGAGGCCAAAAAAAAAAAAAAAAAAAAAAAAAAA